ACCCAGACGAGCCAGTAGTTTGTGTCATATCAAGTGGATGAAGCACAGCCGGAACAGTTGCTTTAGTATCCGGTTACAATCACCATTCCGCAGAGTGGTCTGCAGACTGATGCGGGGTGTCTCTTAATGAAGGGAACGAACTAAACAAAAACCTACCATGTTGCTTCACTGTTCACAATTAATCACTACATTATTGATTGATCCTTTATCCGCGACATGAGGATGCGCCAGTACCATGTATCTCTCCTGGTGGGTAATAGCTTATTACTGCAAATCCTCTGTGGCCTCTGTCACAGTTTAATAATAAAAATTATACCGATTCTCTATTCGCTATTTTCATTTAAATTTTTTTCACGGATAAAAAAGTTTTTGGCAAATTGCACGCCTTTGTTCATCGGATTGCTGCTCTTCTTTCCAGCGAACATATCCCTCGTCCCGATTCACAGAAACCTATCTCGGCCCGGGCATCCACATGCTGGGCTCATGGATTACCACTGTTGAATGAGCAGACTGTTGCGGATTTGTTCTCAATTCCCGACACGTGCGCCCCCGAACACATGACCGGATGGTCCGCATTTCTCGAACTCGTCCGGTCGACAGCCCCCGCCTACTCGATACTGCACACGCTTAGCATTGCGGTCCTGAACGCCAATTTCTTCCATTCCCTGCGCGGCTACCCTCGACCATTCGGTGCGCATTTGTTTCCCACAAAATCCTCACCCTCTCTGGATTTGCAGCACACAGGCAGTGGTGATGCTCAGCTTCTGCTGTTGAGCAGTTTATGTGACCTAGCTAATCGCGATTCGCCCAACTACGCTGCTACGACTGCCCTATTTGATCAGGTATAAATCACATGATTACCTTGGTACCTTGTTAACTTTTTCCCCGTGTCTACGGCCTGCCCTGACATGAGAGTCGCAGTTTCAGTTTTTACAACTATTAACCATGCACTTTCGAGCGCCGGTTTTGGTTGCCGTCTTTTGGTCGTCCATTTGGATAAGAGGAACAGGATGAAGATTGGAATGTTGAGATCGAAGTCCAAGGGAAGATAGAGAATTCACATGGAACTGGTGTTAAGGGAGCGCCACTGTTTGCG